CCCGCCTTTTTTTTTGAGACAAGATCTTTTGACATACTTCTGGTTGTCCTAGAATTCACTATGTAGACCAGGCTGGCCATAAACTCACAAAGATCCACCTGCCTTTGCCTCCCAAGTGCTGGGATTACAGGTGTGCACCACCATGCCTGACTCAAAATATTTTCTTGATTTGAGGATTTGTATATCAGATTAAGAATCATTATCTCAGGGGCTGAAGAGATTGTTGTGAGATATTTGTACTTTGTGTGAATATCTATTTGCTGTGATTGGTGTAACAAAATGCTGAAAGGAGCCGGGCGGCGGCGCATGCCTTTAATCCCAGCACTTGGGAGGCAGAGCCAGGTGGATCTCTGTGAGTTCAAGGCCAGTCTGGTCTATAGAGCAAGATCCAGGACAGGCACCAAAACTACACAGAGAAACCCTGTCTCGAAAAGTGGAAAACAAACAAACAAACAAACAGAAAGAAAATGCTGAAAGGGCTGATAGTTAGGCAGGAGGTATAGGAGGGATTTCCAGGGAGAGAAAGGAAGAAAAGGAGAAATCCAGGTGCACAGGAGACTCCACTGAGACATGGAAGGAGTCAGACACACAAAATAGGAGAGAGGTAAAAGCTACATGGTAGAACATAGATTAATATAAATATGGGTTAATTTAAGTTATAAGAGCTAGTGCAACAGGCCTAAGTGTAGCTAGAGTTTTTCTCTCTGGTTCCCGTCAAGCCCCGGCAGTCCCTTAGCCCACTTATAAAATAAACATACAGACACTTATATTATTTAAACTGCTTGGCCATTAGTTCAGGCCTACCATTGTCTAGCTCTTGCTCTTATATTCAATCCATTTCTATTAACCTATACTTTGTCACATGGCCCGTGGCTTACTGGTACCTTACATTTTCCTTGTCCTGGCGGCTGCCAGCGTCTCCCTCTCTGCCTTCCTGCTCTCTCAATTCTCCTCTCTGTTAGTCCTGCCTATACTTTCTGCCTGGCTACTTGCCAATCAGTGTTTTATTTATCAATCAATCATCCACAACACCTAAGCTAAGGGCCAAGCTTTCATAATTAGTAATACGTTTCTGTTTTATTATTTGTGAGTTGGCAGCCCAAAGGAAAGTCCAATTAATATGGCACCCAACGTGGTGACAATAGTATCACAGATAGGTTCGGTATACAGAGGCAACGGGTCTTTTAAGAGGCCCTGCTGTGCAGTGGAGCACTTGAGCAGCCTGCTAGGTAAATATGCATGAGGCTTGGACTCAGCAGATTCCAAGAGCTGAGGCAGTAAACCTGGCTCCTGCCAGTACCTGGCAGCATGAAGGCTAGGCTGTCATGGAATGAAGGAGGTCAGAGCCTGCCACCAGCACCACAAGCTAGCCGTGCCATGGAGGGCCTAACAAGTTAAGATTTGCCTCACGCTGGTCAGAGAAGACTGCAGAAGCACAGAAAGTCAGATCAAGACCAAGAAAACCTCTGAACAGATATAATATGCTTAAAAATGTGCTTAGCTGCTAAAGAAAGAAAAAAAATGGGTATACACAGTCATAGAAAAATAAATAGTGTTAAAATAATAAAGTCTTTAAAGAGAGAGTAAAGTAATACAAAAGGAAAAAGCCACATAAAGATGGGAAATTCACAGGGCATCTGGATCCTGTATGGTGTTTTGTTGACTTTGAATTTTTTAAATGTTAATGTACAAAAAAAATAGCTGACGAGAGACACTGGATTATGGAAATTGCTAAATTAACTCAACCTATATATTTTAAAGAATATCTTAATGGGCTGGAGAGACGGCTCAGAGGTTAAGAGCACTGGCTGATCTTCCAGAGGTCCTGAGTTCAATTCCCAGCAACCACATGGTAGCTCACAACCATCTATAATCAGATCTGGTGCCCTCTTCTGGTCTGCAGGTATATATGGAGGCAGAACACTCTCTATATAATAACAAATAAACAAATCTTTAAAAAAAGAGACTATCTTAACTTTCTAAATGGAAGTCAAAAATATGTTGCATTGGGGGAGAGGTTATGCTTTTGTTTCCATAGGAAACAAAAAGTTATGGTTCTCTTCAAAATTAATAAAGATCAAATTTGATTAGGGGAGACCTCCTGAAAATCTTGGCTACAGACATAATAAAAGAAACCAAGAGAGACTACAGGACAGGTGACACATCCCTCTATTGTGGGAACAGCTCTGGGACTGGATGAAACATGATAAATCTTGTTGGTCGCAGAGTCCTCATGACTTTTTATTACATGCCATCCTTTCATATAGCATTGACAGAGGTTTGGTTATACAGTCCAAACAAACCTATAAAGTTAACAGATGCCTTTTACCTGCTCAAACATAGAACAAAATATCATCTTTAATTGACTTGTGCACAGTGCATATTCCATACTTGTGTTAATGCAAATACATGTTACCTTTAAAAGTTTGTGTTTTTAGAAAGAAAAAAAAAGACCAAACACGTAGCTCAAGTGATCCAGCCTCTCAAAATGCCTCTGTTGCAATTTCCTCAAAATTCTCCATCCAGAACAACTTCAAAGCTGCTAGCCGAGATGGTCAGCCTCACAGACTATCCAGACAAGTCCTCAGATAAGCTCTACACTTTCCCATCACACAGAGACTAAACAAAAAATAATACAGCTAGCTCTCTCATGACTTGACCATTGTCCCCATTTTCTCAAGGTCCCCTAAAGATGCCGTTGTCCCCAGACAACTGGAAGCAGTCTAGAGAACATGATACCAACATTCCCAAGAGATGGAGTAGGTAGTTTTTGGTCATTTCGTGGGTTATCAATGTTTGTCATCATTTAGTGTGGTTGGTTACAAGTTGTTATTGGTCATGTCAGGAAAAAAGCTGAACAAAGATTAGATTCAGGGATCTATTTCTGAAGGTAAAAAGGGGGTATATAGTATAGAAATGATGGGATAAAAGAATGGATTGTTGAGTCTACTTTTGAACTAAAAAAATAACTACTAGTCTCAAATATTTTACATTGATATGGATTTTTATATATTGTTTTTAGTCTTATTTTTCTTTTTCTTTTTTTTTTTTTTTTTTCTTTTTTTTTTTTTTTTTTGGTTTTTTCGAGACAGGGTTTCTCTGTGTAGCTTTGCACCTTTCCTGGGACTCACTTGGTAGCCCAGGCTGGCCTCGAACTCACAGAGATCCGCCTGGCTCTGCCTCCCGAGTGCTGGGATTAAAGGCGTGCGCCACCACCGCCCGGCTTAGTCTTATTTTTCTTATACTATATTATGTTTCTATTTCTTGTTTACTGTATTGAACTTATGCAGATCATTTAAAAATTTAATATAAAGTTTTAGTCCTTGAAAGCTATTTAGGATAATAAAAAAAAAAGACAGGTCAATAGTTAGTCATCTATAACAATCAAATTTATAGTCATATTAGGTATGTTTTCAAGGTCAAACAGAAATATATTTTAAATAGTCTTTAAATACTTCAAAGACCTACAGAATATGGAATTTAAAATGTTTTAATAACATAAGGCTTTTCATGAGACATGACTGCTCCTGGCAGTACCAATCTACTTCAAAAAAAAAAATAATGGGCATCAAAGAACCTTCATATGGAGTTTGCTTTCAATGTGGCAAAGGTAGCCATTTGAGCAAGAAACTGTCCTTTCCTCAACAGCTGACAGTATGCTGTATAAACTGGATAATCAGGATACAAAAGAAAGCAACTGCCAAACTTTGCTAACATGAGGTAGGATAGTCCTTCAAAATTCCTTCTTCACAGAAAAGTCTGTTCAATATTCTAGGCCTATAGGCCAAAGATGGATGTCTCACCATTGCAGAGGAATCTTAGGTGATTGTCCCGGCAGCCAGCTGTTTCTGTCATTTCTATAGCTTTGGAAGTTGTCTGCTTTGCACTTTCTGTTTACTCAGGTAATAGAATTATCCTTCGCAGGTCTCTGATGGAGTTGAAGGTGAGATAGTTATAGTTACAGTTTTCCTTGTTTCCAAATTCTGAAAAGAAACTTACACAAGAGATGTAAAGTTTATAATGTTGAGAAACATAAAAGCTTGAGTTGTTTATCTAAAAAGATGTTTTAAGGTCTAAAAAAATATTTTTAGGATGGTATTACAAATTATGATAAAACTGGTTTGGGTATAAAACTTTGGACTAAGATAGGATAGATAATGCAGTATGTTCTCCAAATTTGCCAAATACAAATGGACTGGACATTGTGATTGTAAATCTTACCTGATAATTGTTCTTATTATATACAGTTTTACTATGTTAGAGTTAAAACCTTTCCTTTTTATTTAGACAAAAAGGGGGAAATGTTGTGGGATATTTGTATACTGTGTGAAGATGTATTTGCTGTGATGTATTTGGTGTAGTAAAAAAGCTGAACGGCCAATAGCTAGGTAGAAGTATAGGCAGGATTTCTGGGGAGAGAAAGGAAGAAGGAGAAATCTAGGCATGCAGGAGATGCCATCAAAATGCAGTACAAGTTGGACACACAAAATTGGAGAGAGGTAAAAGCCATGTGGTATAACATTGATTAATAAAAATATGGGTTAAGATACCAGGTGGTGGTGGCACAGGCCTTTAATCCCAGCACTCGGAAGGCAGAGGCAGGCGGATCTTTGTGAGTTAGAGGCCAGCCTGGTCTACAGAGCAAGATCCAGGAAAGGCACAAAGCTACACAGAGAAACCCTGTCTCGAAGAAAAAAAAAATGGGTTAAGTTATAAGAGCCAGTAGGACAAGCCTAAGCTAAGGCTGAGCTTTGATAACTAATAATAAGTCTCCATGCTGTTATGTGTGAGTTGGCGGCCCAAAGGAAAGTCTGACTATAAAGATGGCTCAGTTGTTAAGTGTGCCACTCATATTTAGTGGCAGGAGGATCCAATGCCCTCTTCTGGATTATACACAGACACACAGACATACACACTTAAAATATAAACAAACTGAATATGTTGGCACACACCAGTATTATTAATACTTGGAAGGTTTAGGCAGGAGGATCAGAAGTTCAAGGCCATCCTTGGCTACATAGAAAGTTGGAGGCCAGAATGAAATACATAGGCCCCTGTCTAAAAATAATTAGATTAAAAAAAAAAACATTATTCTAGGACCTAGAGAGATGGCTCAGCAGTTAGTGCTTATTGCTCTTGTAGATGACCTGGGGTCCAGTTCCCAGCACCCACATTTGTAATTTTAGTGGACTGATGCCTTCTTGCCTCCAAGGGCACCTGTAAACATGCAATGCACATAAACTCAGGCAGACACACAGGCATATACATGACCAGTAAGATGGTCCGTAGCTAAAGGTGCTCGAAGAGTGAGCCTGGCTACTTGAGTTTAATCCCTGGAGCACACATAAATGGTGGAAGGCGAAGAGTGACTCCACAAGGTTTTTTCCTGACCTGCAGGCAAGTAGCACAAATGTCTGCACACACAGAAAATATTTTAAAAGAATCATTATTCTAGGTAATAACTTTCTGTATGAAATTTTTTTTCTTGAAAAATGAGTTTCTTTGATAATGAAAATGATAGACTTTTACGATTTTCCCTCTTTTTACCTTGGAAATGCATAACAAAATCCAATGTTTATCTGTGAAGCCATTTTCCATGTTCTTGGCATAATTATCTGCCCTTCAAAAAAAAAAATCTTTCTTTAGTCACACATTTTCTCATTTTATATGATTCAGAATATATGTTGCTTTATATTAGTTTTAGGAAGTAGATATTATATAACTTTTAAACATGCGCTTAAAATTTTGGCTTAAAGTAATAAATTATAGGCTAAATATAGCTGATTCAATCTGAATTATAGGAACATCTTTTTTTTTTTTTTATAACAAGAGAGATTTATTTATTTGAAACAAGAGCCTCACTATGTAGCCCTATGTGGCCTGAACTCAGAGCTCCTCCTGTTTCTGCGCCCTGTCTGCTGGGATTAAAGGAATGAGTGCGCCACCTGCCAAGACAAGAACGAATATTTTAAAGAACATACAATGTGGCAGGGAATTACACTATCCACTTTATTGGGAATTATTCATGCTGTAGATACTATCACCTCACTTTACCGAAGTTCAAACTAATGATGAAACTTTAGAAGGTTATAAAGTATTTATGGGTAGGACTCAGGTTTGGCTCAACTCCAAATTCCGGCTCCTAGCATACAGAACACTGTTTCCCCAGCAGCACGTTCTATTTTACATTGTCGTTGCCTTTTACCTGCTCTGGGATTCTTTCTGGGAGAATGTCACATCTTACTCCTCAATGGAGTGGAACTCTGTTTCCTAGCAAACTTACTGCCGTTCCTCCATCTCCCAGTCCTCTAAGTGGAGTCCCAGCTCACCTCACCTAGATCACCTCAGGCTGAGCTGAGCCCAGAGTCTTCGCAGCTTCCTCCTGCAGTAGAGCCTGGTTTCTCAGATTCTGTCACCCAGCAGGGGGCGCGGGGGTGGGGGTGGGTTGGTGGGTGAGGGTTCCTTATTAGTGATCTCCCCCGCCTCCCTGCCTCCCCCGGCAGAGCCCTGGGACTCTGCTGAGATTCTTGTGCTTCAGGGTTGTGGAAGAGTTTCCACTAGGCAAGGACGCTCTTTAAAACAGGAAAGTAAAACAACTCAAAATAGCTTCAGGAAGTCCCTGAAACTGAGCAGATTGATTAGGTCCCTCCCTGCCAGAGTAAGCAATAAAAGCTGAGAGAGCCCTCAGACAAAAGGAAGCTGAGCAGCAAAAGGAATCTGAGCTGTAAAGAAGACTCTGAGATCAGACCAGCTGCCTGGAAGAAGCGGAAACCAGCCAAGCTGCCGGGAAGAGGTTCAGACCAGAGTCTCTTGGAAATGACACTCTCCAACCTGTTGAGCCGCCTGCAGACTGTGCAGTGTGTTCCAGGTTCCCAGCTTTGTGAGCTGTCACCCATGCTGGGTGGGCCTTGGTGATGCTGGGGTCTCTAAGTCATTTCTGCTCCTGTAAGTCCACCCTCTCCCACACTCATGTACAAATAAAACTCACTGGTTCACCAAGTTGGACTCTGGTGCTATCTGTACTTTGGTCTGTCTGTGGGAGCCCTATCTGGGGTGAGGAGACCTGCGTAGCGTCTCCCCAGGACAAGTATTGCCATACAACATTCGGCAGAGGGCAACAGCCCTCAGCAAACTTTCTGAGAGACTTTTCTCCACGGTCCCGCGCCAAGCCACAGCGCACCTTTTCCCCCCATTCCCTAACCTCTCCGCACAGTCGCATTCCCACCCGCCATTCTCTTTGTCTGCGCCTTAGTGTCTCGGTTCAACCTCTCCCTCCTTCTCCGGGTCGGCTCCGTCCCCGGGTCCCGCGGAAAACTCACGCAGCGCTTCTGATCCCGGCTGCTCCCCCGATCAGCTCCGCGCTTTACCTCTCCCTGCCGCTCCGCTCCCAAGGCCTGGAACTAGCCTTCGGCCAGCCGGCACCCGAAAGCCCCGCCCCTCCCTGCCCATTGGCTCCCGTCCTCAGACAGTCCCGCCCCCGGGCTCGCAGCCCGCCTCTCCGCCCCGCTTCCCTTGTTTTCATTCCCCCTGTCACACGAGGCAGTGGCAGCCCCGAAGTGGGAGGGGAGAAGTCGGAGGGGAGAAGTCGAAGAGGGAAGGGGACGGGAAGAGGGCGGAAAGTGAAGGGCCCAGAGCGCCTCTCTGCCCCCGATCTAACTCAGTTCTCGACTGCTCCGGGGCCGGCGTGGTATTGTGGGATCGCGGCGCCTGGCCTGCCGGAGCGGCTCGCATCCGCAGGGGCGTCCACTCGAGAGCGCCTCCTGTCGTCCGTAAGGCTGCCCTGCCATTCCTCGGCCCCCCCAACTCCTCCCGCCCCCCCATCCCCTCCTCCTCCATCCTCCAGTTCAAAATGGCGACGGCGGCGGCGGCGGCGGCAGCGGCGATGGCTCCTCCGGGCTGCCCGGGTTCGTGCCCCAACTTCGCCGTAGTCTGCTCCTTCTTGGAACGCTACGGGCCGCTGCTGGACCTGCCCGAGTTGCCGTTCCCAGAGCTGGAGCGGGTGCTGCAGGCGCCGCCGCCGGACATCGGCAACGGAGAAGGTAAGCGATCGGCCCGAACGCCCGGCGGGAAGCGGCCCTGGCGCGCTCTGCCTCTCCATAGATATCCTGGGGCTCTGCAGCCGTCCCCCCCCTCCGGGGACTGGGCTCCGTGGGGTCTCGACTCAGCTTAGCCTGGGGGGGTTCCTGAGTGCTGGGGAGGCGGGGCGGAGGCCCCTTAGGGCCACCGTGCCCCGCGGGGACGGAGGTGGGGGCGTCGCAGGCCGGGTGTGGGCCGGGGCCCGGGAGGGGGCATTGTGCCGGGCAGGCGCCCTGGAGCCGGGTCCCCCGAGCCGGGGTTGGCCCCCCAGTTCTTATCCCTTTAGGTGGCGGGGGAAGGGGAGAGCAGGTTCCGGCCAGCCTTGCGCTTTTCTCCTCCCCTCCTCCCACCAATCCTCCCCACCGTCTCCGGGGAGGCTGGGCCCATCTTCTCCCGGCGCCCCCTCTGCTCACTCCACCTGAGTGGGCGGGGGCCGGCGGACACTCCACTCTCTTTCTCTCTGCGGTGGGAACTCCCCCGAGAGAGTCGGCTCCTGCCCTCTTCCCGTTCCCTCGAGGGCTGGTCTAACCCCCCAAACTCCTTCCTCCCCCCTTAGGGAGATCTTGCTCCTCCGCCCAGGGAGGGGGCTTCCCCCCCTCCCCCATTCTCGCATAGGGAGGGGAAATGAAGTCGGTTCAGCTTCTCTACTCTGGGGAGGAGAGGGTTAATTTCTCCTCCTCCATAGTTTTCCTCCTCGCCACCTCCCCCAAAATAATAGAAAAGCATCTCCCCACTTTTCTCTCTCCCTTCCCCCTATCTCGGCAACAGGGCTTAGGGGAAGAAGTCACTCTTCCATTTGCAGGCTGGGGTGGGGTGGGGTGGTTGGTCTGTAGGCTGGAGGAGGGGCTCAGACGGCAGGGGAAACAGTTGAAGAAGGTGCTTGTTGCTCATGTTTCTCTCTCTGGTGCCGCTGGTCTATTATTGGTGTTCGCAAGTGGTGCTCCTTCCACATAAGGCCACCGCGCGGGTGCAGGGCGCATGCTCTGCCCGGCCCCATTGAAACTTCCTGCTGCTGGTTCTTTTGCTGGAGCATCTCAGCGCTGTGCCTGCGGCTTGCAACCCTCACACACTGAGCGCTAACACTCTTCCCCTGTTAATCCTGATCCGTGCCGCTCCTTTTCTGGCACTTTATTTCCCTTAGAGAAAGCTTATTTGTGTACTCCGAACATTGCCTTTGTCTGGGTACAGCCCTTGGCAGAAGAAGAAACGTTTCCCTAATAGGTCTTTTTCCCTCTCTTCTTTTTCGTTTGATCTGCGCGTAGATGACCAGGGTGGACTTGGTATTGTACAAGACATGATAGTTGTGACCTTTCTAAGAAAGCGGAGTCGATTTTCTGTTCTCTGTGGAAATGCAGTTCTTGATACGATGTATTTACATAGCTAGGAAAAGACCCAAGTGTGAAGTTCTTCAAAGTAACCAGTAGTGAAAATGTGTGATATACAATGTTATCAAAGATGAGTCCTAAGGCAGTTACTAGTACAGCATTCTTAGTCTCTCTCATCTTCTCTATTGAGACTGTTGCTTTGTCTGCTAGCCTGGAACTCTGTAGACCATGCTAGCCTGGAACTCTTAAAAATCTTCCTGCCTCTGCCTCCCATGTGCTAGGATTAAGGCATTAGACACCATGCCCGATTCTACGTCTTTTTTTTTTTTTTTTAAACCGGTTCGCAATTTTTAGACTCTCTGGCTCATAAAAGGCTATTTTTTTTAAACTATGAAATTGGAAGGTGGTTAAATTACTTTATATTAAGACTTTCTGTAGAATTTCTTTAAACATTAAACTTCCAGTGTATTAATTTCGTTATTATGTTTACGTTTATTTTTTTTTTAAAGGAAATAGTCACTGTGAAGTAGAATACCTTAATTTTAGGATACTTTAGAAATAATAGTAATTTATTTGTCAGAGAGAAATGTGAGAATTTTAGGGGAAATTGGTGGTAAGTTGTTTTCAGAATTTATTTGTACTGATTTAAGAGGCAGGCACTGGTTTTTTGGAGTGCCATTGCAGTTTGAATACCAAATAAGCTTGCATTCCCTTAAATTTGGATCAGTGTGCTTACTTTGTATTAGTACTGGGAGAAGAAAATTATTAGGGACCATTTGTTATATCTAGCGTTGAGCTTTGGGGGGTGTCATCTAAATAAGAATGGGAAAGAACTTGGACTAAGAGTCATTTAACTCAGCCACAGCATTACCATTGATATAGTTGGTAAGAGTACTGATAAGAATAGATTCTGTCATGGGAATCTAAGAATAATTGTTAATTAATGTCACACAGTTCAAGACGTGTGACAAATGAAAAGTCTCTCTGAAGGTGGAAGTTTTTACTGTGCAGGAAAAAGATTTTCAGAACTTTGATGATGTCTCAGGCAACTTACAATAGTTTAGCTAATAAGATTGACTCAGTCTTTTTGGGAAAGAATTTGGTATGGTAGAAAGAGTTGAAAGACTAGGGTTTTGTGTTGAGCAATGTATAGGTTGTAGAGCAATTGTTTTATTAATATGGACCTCCGTTTCTTCAGTAGACAAAGGTAATGACTAAAAACCAAATGAAATGTTTCAAAAAACCCTTTCATAAACCAGGTACTTACAAATATTACTGTACTACAAATTACATTAAAGTTTTTTTCAGATAAAAGATACATAGTACATTTGTAATTAGCCTTAAATTTTTGTTAAGTCGGGAGTGCATGGGGTGCCTGTGTTGGAATCAGACCAGTTTTGCTTTGTGTGTGTATATGTAGATGTATATACATATACTTTTTTTTTTTTTTTTGCTTTTTCAAGACAAGATTTCTCTATGAATTTTTGGAGCCTGTCCTGGAACTCACTCTGCAGACCAGGCTTGGCCTCGAACTCACAGACCTGGCTCTGCCTCCCAAGTGGGGAGGTTAAAGGTGTGTGCCACCAACGCCTGGCTAAGTTTTTTTTTTTTTTTTTTTAAAGCATTTCTAGTGCCATTTAAAAGTTCTAATAGGGCTGGCAGGGTAGCTCAGGGGGTAGGGTACTTGCTGCCAAGCCTGCTGATGTGGGTTTGAGTCCCTGAATCTGCATAGTGGAAGAAAGGACCACCTGCAAGCAGTGCTCTAAGCTCTCCGTTCGGCTTTTGGCGTGTGCGTAGAGTGCACACATGTGCACACAATAAATAAAAATTCCAACTTATGCAAGATTTGCTTTTCCTAGTGTGAGTGGCCCTTAGACTATGTTTTTATGTGTCTTTTTCAGTCTTCTGTTCTACCAGCTGGGGTACGGAAGGGGGCTAGTTCAGTACTTGAGTACAGCATTTATTGAGGTAGATTTAGCAACACGATAACGTTCTTTGGTAGAAGCTAGTTAACTGATTTGTCCCTGTTTAAATACTTTGATCTTTTTCCTAAAAAGTTGTTTGTAAGCTTTCATTTGATAGTGTGGCTTCAGTTTAGGATACCCTGTTCCTTAGTCAAGAAGGCTCTCATGAGACAGAAAATAGAACCAGTGTCCATTTAAATTCCAAAACTTGGGAAGTTCTTCTGTGCCCCATGGTAGTATTCCACAGGTAATTCTGGTTATTTAAAGATAAAATAAAACCATGAAAAATGTCAATTTAGTTAGATTAATTTTTCTTTTTAAAAAGGAATGATTAAGCTGGGCAGCAGTGGCGCACGCCTTTGATCCCAGCACCCAGGAGGCTAGCCTGGTCTACAGA